CAATCGGATATTGAATCTAATCGACCAAAATTTGGTGATCAAATTGAACTTAGTAAAGTATTGAAATGGAAATATAGTGTATTAAATCAAGCATATAATAATTACAAAAAAAATAATTTAACAAATTTAAAAAAAGAAATTAGTGCATTTATTAAAAAAGAACAATATTGGCTCGATGACTATACACTTTATATGGCAATTAAAGCTGAACAAAATAATCAATCATGGTCAAAATGGCCAAAAGAATTAAAACAACGCGATAAAAAAGCTTTAGAACAAAAACGACATGAACACGCAAATGTTATTGATCAACATATATTTCTTCAATATATTTTTTTTCATCAATGGAGTCAATTAAAACAATATGCTAATCAACATGAAATTATTATTCTTGGTGGTAAATAGTTCTAAGAAAATTATTGATCCTAAAATATTTATTTATTTATTTATAGATATGCCTGTTTATGTTGATTACGATAGTGCAGATGTTTGGGCAAACCAATCATTATTTCAACTTGATCCAAAAACTGCATTACCAACAGTAGTATCAGGTAAATTTATAATATAATGTAGATAAATTTTATTTTATTTATTTTAGGTGCTCCACCTGATTCATTTAGTGAAAATGGACAATTATGGAATAATCCGTGGGTGTCATAATTTGAAGAAAACAAAAATTAAAGCTGAATGATTTCAATTTTTTTAGAATTTACGATTGGACAGGTAATTTACGTAAGACCAATTTCGACTGGTGGATAAAACGTTTGAAAAAATGTTTGGAAACAGTTGATGTTCTTCGTATTGATCATTTTCGTGGTTTAGAAGCTTATTGGTAAGATAAACTTTCTTTCTTTTTTTAATTAAAAACTCACAATTGAGCTTGATAAAAATATCAGAAGAAAATTTAAGAGATGTATTAATAATAATAGCTTTTCAAAATCATTTTCTTTCTAAATGGATTAAGGATTTTCCAACTGGATATTGAGTTGATGACTCATGCATATACTATCATAAACACTTGGTCTTATGGTTGGCTAATGTGTATGGAAGAGTAAGAATTCTGCATCGGACAGGCTTTGTATTCGAAACCACAGTTAGTATTCGTATTTTTCTTTCTATATTAACGAATGATTGAAATGTTCCAATAAACAAATAGAAGTCTGTATTCGAATGCATCAAATATTATCTTTTTGTTTTTAAGGGCTATTCCAATTGGATCAGATGGAAAACCTAAAGCACCAAGTAAAGGTTCATGGATTACAGCCTGTGGTAAATTTTCTAATTGTATTTTCTTTGACTTCCATTCAATTGATTCGTTTTCTTTTCTTTGGCAGGTGATGAATTTTTAACAGCAGTGACCAAAGCACTTGGTAATGATTTACCATTAATTGTTGAAGATTTAGGTTATTTAACACAAGAAGTATTTGATCTTCGTGATAAATATGATCTTAATGGTATGTGTGTTCTTCAATTTGGTTTTGGTACTAATGGAGCTAATATATATTTACCACATAATTATGTTCCAAATAGTGTTGTTTATACTGGAACTCATGACAATAATACAACAAGTAATGTTTATCGATTTTAAAAAATATTCTTTGTTTTATTAATCAAATCTTTTTTTTTCTGAAATTTTATAGTTGCATGGTTTCGTCATAATGCAACGAAAAAAGAAAAAGAAAATTTAATTAAATATTTACAAAAAGAAGGTGATCCAGAACATAATATTAATTGGGATTTCATTCGAATGGTACATGCTAGTGCAGCTAATACATCGATTATTCTATTTCAAGATGTACTTAATCTTGAAGAACATTGTCGAATGAATGATCCGTATGTTGAAATAATTGTTTGTACATATTTGTTTTTTAATTCAACATATTTTTTCAGAGCATTTACACCAGATTATGAAGAAAATTGGCGTTGGCGATTTAAATGGGAACAATTAAAACAAAAAGACAAAAATAAACTTCAAGAATTAACACAAATGTGTGGACGATTTATTATACCTGAAGAACCATTAGAAGAACCATTAGAAGAACCATTAGAAGAACCGTCAGACGAATCGTCAGAAGAACCATCAGTAAAACCATTAGCGAAACCCGACAAATAAGTTGATGTTTGTGAAAAATTAGTCGTATTAAACATTCAAACTCTTATTCATAAAAACAAAACCGATTCTTTATTGAGTTTATTCATATTCTAGCTGTAGTTATTTTCTACTGTTTTTTAAAAAATTTATTTTGTGTCATATGTTATCTCGTGTTGAGTGTCTTATTGATATTTACTTATTACGAGAAAGAGTCAGAAATTTCTATATTTGTATATTATTATCTCAGCAATTAATAAAAATAATTAAAAATTCATCCATACATTTATATGAGTTTTTAAGCACAAAAAGTCAATCTATATGTTTAAAATAAAGATGACAACACATCTCAAATATCGGACTGACGTGTTCGAAAACTGAAAATTAAAAATCAAGTAGGTTTTAGTGTTTAGAACATTCATATCGTATTGTATGAAACGATTTGATTGAAAATATTGCAGAAATATTTTTATAATAAATATTTATAGATCAAATACGAATACTTAATTTTTTCAAAAACAAAAGAAAAAAAACAGAATTGTCATGCAAAAATTTATGACCATCAATGATCAAAGTGCTATTTATATGAAACATAAATATGCATCTTAATTTTTGATTTCATTTGCAAGTTAATATACAATATAAATCGGAGATATATTTCTAGTATTTATATTTCATATTACTTCTTCATTTTTCCTGTTGTACTATATTCACATATAAGGGCAAAAATAATCAATGTTTATACATTCAAGATAATGATAGATGTTTTCATTGCACATAATCAAATTGATCAATGAAATTTATTGAGGTAATATTAATTGTATACTTTGACCAGGTGATATAGCTGATATAGAATCAACAGGAAATGTTGGCTTTTCACGTTCAAGACCATAGTGATAGACAAAAACTCGTCGTTGTACACCTGTTGTATTATAAAAATTTAAAATTTCATCAAAACTTGCATGTTCATAAGTACTGGTTTCACGACCATCAACTAAAATTGTTGGTGCCGTCCAAAGATATTTATAAAATGGTTCATTAAAACCTGAATCTCCAGAAAAACTAAGAATTGGTTGATCATTTTCATAAAGAACAAAACCAGCACATAATTCACTATGTTGACTACGTTGAACACGTATTTTTAATTTCGAATTCAGATCTCCTGAATCAAGTTCAACATCTTGTGATTCATCACACATAATCCATTGTACATTATGAAAAAGATCGGTTGTTGCTGAGTCAAGTTCCGCACAACGATTTTGACGTAAACGAGATTGAATGCCTATATAACAATAAACATGAACGATAGATTTTAAAGCTTCATTAGCAATATATACAGGCAATTCTCCACTATGATCTGTATGATTATGTGAAACGAATATTTGTCGAGGTTTGACATTAGGATTTTTTAAATATTTTTGAAGAGCAAATATTGAACCAAGACCAATATCAATGAGAAGAATACATTCACCTGTTGATCGACGTACAAGAGCAAATGAACTACTCGCTTGATTTGAATAGACTGCAGTAGCACCTTTACCAACACCCAAACAAACAAGATCATAAGATGAAATTTCTGTTATAATCTAAGAGAAATATAAATATGAAGTCGAGTTTAAAGTAAAATTTAACGACATACCTTTTCATCTTCATCGTTGACGGATATTCCATATTTATCGGAATGTGTATCATTAATGTTTTCTACGGAAGTACTCGTTCCCATGCTTCTAAAGAAATATGCGAATCGATAAGGATGTGTTTTAAGTAAGTTATCGTTCTGATATTTCAAACTCAGACACTATCAATATTTATAGTCGCTACAATATTTATATGTCAAACAGGTGAGACGACAGAAAATAAGATTGATTTTTTTTTTGGCTTGTTTCTTTTTGATCGACATTTATGCATTGTTATGATATTCAAAAAAGTTGGCAATTATTCATCGACAAAGTAATAGTTATAGTAATCATGCGTTTAATTTGAATATATTAATGATTCACTTATATTAATATAGCAATTGATAAACGATGAGGACGAGAAATTTTCTATTCTTTCTCTGATATGCCACATGTGTTAATAAATCATATAAATATTTATACACGAAAATTTTGAAAACACTTCCCTTTTTTTTTTGCTCTCAAGAGCGAACAAAAATGACTCAGTACTCGTGATATATATTTACGTTGTGAAAAGCAACATGAAATGTCTATGATGATTTTTTCTTTTCTCGATTCCCGAACTGTGAGAAAAAAAAAGAGATGAGTACATGCGAACAACAAAAAATAATTCAATTTATTTCCAGTTGAGTAACTTTCTAATAAAAACATTCAATCATATACTGCTGTAATCATTATATCATATAGTTCGAATATATTTTCTAAGGTCACCGTTACATGAATGCACATGATCGATAAAAAGATATATTTGTCTATATTTATTATATTTCATACTCAAGGTGATTTTGATAATAATATAAATCTTATCTAGCTGTATATAATTTTAAAAATGGCATATATATTCATTGTGTGAAATAACATAAACAAATAGGAATTTGTATTGAAAATATTTATTCATATAATAGATATTATTAAAATTTCAATAGAGACATCTATGAATTGTATGTCTTAAATCGCTAATACTTTGACTAATCATAATTTAACATTAACAAAGATGATAAAAAATGGAAGCGGTTGCGGACGAGGACAACAGTACACATGATGAAAGCACAATAAAATCATTTTCTTACAAACATTATTCTATTGTCTATATACTATAACATAATGTATATCAATATTATTTATTTGTAGATCATAAGTTTATCTTTATCAATTCGAATGATTAAAATTGTTAATAATAATAATAATAATACTAATAATATTTTACAAACAATAAAAGTCAATAAAAAACACGCATGATTACTGAAGATAATCTTTCGACTGAATTCAGTCCAAAAAATGAAATTATTGATAAAGATCAACGTCGTTTATTATTACTTAATGATTCTAATTATGGAATAGTTCTTTGTTTTCTTGAAAAATTTCGATCTATACTCGATTTACCAAATTATTCATTACAACGTTTTGAAGATCATCTTATAAATTATGAAGAACGAAGTAAATTTTTTGTTTATATCATAATTATTTATTAATAAAAAATATTCTTTATTTAGATTCAGTTCCACCACGTCTTATTGATTTTCATTTTATTCTTCTTAAACGATTGTCATTAGCTAAAAATACTCAACGTGAAAAATTTGATTCAATAATTACTAAAGTAAGTTGAGTTTTTTCTTTTTTCTTTTTATAATATTTCTTTTTTATACTGTAGTTTGCTTCTCGTTTTGATTTAAATGATAGTAATCATTTGTCAACAACAGGTTATTTACAAGCAGAAATTAATGTTAAAGTTCGAATTTTAAAAGTAAGTAATTATGAAAATTAATTGATTTTGTTGTTTTGAAAGGAAAATTTTATTTCTAGAATTTACTAGAAAGTCAATTTGATTTAAATCAAACATTTAAAAATACGCTTGTTGATAAAACAGCAAGAGAAATTAAATCAATACCGTTAGGTCGTGATCGTTTTGGAATGTCCTATTGGCTTTTTATGGTATGTATCATTTTGAATAATATAAGAATGAATTTATTTTATTTTATCTAATAGGATACTGATTGTTTTGTGCGTTTATTTCGTGAGGATGCTGATATTGATCGAACATGGACTAATGTTGCTAAGTAAGTAAAATAAGATGTATTAAGAAAATATTTTTAAAACTGTATTTGCTTTTCTAGAGATCGAAATGAATTTGAAAGTTTTATAAAATTATTAATTACAGATTCTGTTGTACGAGCAAAGTTTTCCGGTAAGCTAAATCAAAACGGACAGGGATACATAAGAGCCATCATTTGATAATCAAATAAAGTCGTTTTTTACGATTCTAAACACATTTTTCCAGCATAAATGCATGATGAACACAGAGAAGTGTCAGATATATCGCTTTTTTTAATGAATATGAGAATTATTTAGTTGTTTGATTCTAGAATCTGGACGAAACGAGATACATTTTGATTTTTAGACTTATATTTAACAGATATCAATCAGTAAAACTTAGCTGAAGTTCTGCCAAAAAAATGAATGTCAGTAGAAAACATTTTCTGAATTTATGGAATACTATTATGAGAAAAAAAGTCAAAAAGTATATCATTTTGTAGTCTTTTCGGAAAAAGATGTCCTATGATAGAAAATTTACGCAGTTCATCCTTCTGTGCATAAATTAATTATTTATACTATGAAAGATGAAAACTGAGGATAGCCTACGAAAAGCCTCTTTTACACTTCTGTCCTTTCCTTTGATGAAAATTTATTTTTTCCTTTTTTTTGTATAGACTGGACTGTTGATTATGAGCCGTTTTCTTCATTATCACCTTCGGATGAATTTGAAAAATGCTACTTACCTTCTGCAATAGATATGAAAGAAGAAGATATTAAACCAATAGTAAATGATGATGAAAAACTTGATGAATCAATAAAGAAAAAACGTGGACGACCAAAAGGTTCAGTTAACTCAATAAAAAATGAAAAACCTCAAATTGAAATGGAAATTGAACAAGAAGAGGAGGAAGAAACCGAACCAGTATCGACAGATGATGAAAAACCTGATATTCCAATAAAACGAAAACGTGGACGACCAAAAGGTTCAATAAACTCACCCAAAAAAGAAATTAAACAAGAGAAAGAAGAAGAAGAAGAGAAAAATGAACCAATGTCACACGATGATGATGATGATGAAAAACCTAATGAACCAATAAAAAAGAAACGTGGACGACCAAAAGGTTCAATTAAATCATTAACCAACGTAAAAAATCAAGTATATATTGAAATAAAAGAAGAAAAACACGAAGTTGAATTAACACTCAATCATAATCAAACTAATGATATGTTAACAAAAAGAAAACCTGGACGACCAAAGAGTTTAACAAAGGAAATCGACATGAATATAAAAGAAGAAGAAATTGAATATACATCAATTGAATACGAAAGCATTGAAGAATCAATAAAGAAAAAACGTGGACGACCAAGAGGTTCAGTAAAATCTGTAAGCAATACAAAAAATCAAATCGAATTAGAAATAAAAAATGAACCAAATGAACAAGTCATAACAACAACTCGTCGAGGTAGAAAACGTAAAATTATTACTGAAGACAACAATAATAATGAAAATTCTAAAATCGAAGACAATGATCAACAACATGAAGAATCATTTATTGACGATGCTAATCTTTCTATACGTCGATCATCACGACCACGAAAAGCACCAACAATAGAACCAACATCTGTTCTCACTTCGAAAACTATATCACAGGTATGAAATTCTTTTACAGAAAAGAATAAAACTCCATATTCTGTATCAAATCTTAATGCAAGAATTTTATATAAAAAAATATTGGTTCTATACCAGCGTAAGTCAAATATAAAACATTAGTAGTTCATTTTTACATAATAATCTTTAAAGCAATCAAAAACTACATATAGATAAATTGTAGTCAGGACACATGTCATGTTTCAGCTGCTTCCTTCCCATTTCATTTATTTTTTTCCCTATAGATACTATGTAGTATTTAAATAGAAGGGATTAGCTGAAGAAGTTTCTTCGTCAATAAAATATTGTTCAATGACTTCATTCAGACGTATTCATATGTCGCCGAAAGTCAAATAACTAACGAGAAGACTTATACTGGAATACCTTTTGTAAATTTTCTCTAAATATTACAGTTTTTTTTTTAATTTTCGTACAGATAAAAATTTATAATCAAGATGTCAAGGACGAGTTGTAGTGATGCATGGATGTGTCACTGTTGCGTCATATGATCAGCATGAAAATGCGTAAACTAATCAATAGTTAGAATAATAATAATATTAGATTAAGAAAACCAAAATACGAAAAAGTAAAAAAAAATTCTATTCAAAATAAGATAGATCGGCCTTCTAGAAACTGTCCACTTTATGTTTTTGTTCTTAGTATTATGCGACTAGCAAGTGCAAAAAAGTTTTTTTTTTAGGTCCCTACAGATAAAAGAAAACGTTCAATGAATGGTAAAACAAAAATTTCCAATGATCTTTCAATCACATTAACAACGCATAATAAATCTGGTCGATCTCGCCGTCGACGTAAAACAACATCTCGACGAAATATAAATGATGAATTTTGTTTTTCAAGTTCAAGTTCAGATGAACATATTGATTATCTATCTGATGATGAATATAATTCTGATGATTATCTTCCTGATTCAACTGAAATTGCACATGATGATAATTTCTTTGAACTTGATGAAGATAATAATACAACAGGTGAAGAATTACGTACAGCTAAAACTGCACAAGCATCAACAATAATAACAATTTGTAAAGTATGTTCAAAAAGTGATCGTCCAGAAGTTTTATTATTATGTGATGATTGTGATGATGCTTATCATGTTGAATGTTTACGTCCAATACTTTTATCTGTACCTGATGGTGATTGGTATTGTCCATTATGTGAACATAAAAAATTATCAAATCATTTAATTGAAAAATTAAAAAAATTATTAATTAATTTTAATATAATTGAAACAAAACGTTTAGAATATGATAGAAAGAAAATTCTTGAACGAAAAATTAAAACAAAAGAATATACAAGTGATGAAAGTATAACAGCATCAGAATCTGAACATGAAAATCTCGAAAGTAATTTTCATGCTGATGAATCAATGTTATCAATAAGTCAAACAAATGAAAATAGTAATATATCATCATCATATATTGATGATTCAAATAAAAATATAAGTCAACGTGGACGACATCGACGTACACGTTTTGATATGAATAAAATGCTTAATAATGATGATGAATCCGATGCTGATAATGATTCTAATATTGATGATGATGATGAATATATTGAAAATACAACACAAATAACAAATTTTGATTTACAAATACCGAAAAAAATGACACGTCTACTTAATCCACGTTATCGTCCATTAACAAGAAATGAACAACGATTAAAACCAAGACCTATTGCACCACGTGTAAGTCAACTTTTGTTTTTTTATTTGCCAATAGAATAATATGCAAATCTAACATGTAATTATCGATGAGTAATTATAATTTGATTTAGACTACTATATAGGACAATAACAGTAATCTTAGGAATAGCTAGAAAATGTCACTGTGAACTTGGCAATGCCTTATTTAGTAGGGAAATGTGTTGAAAAGCTAACTCGGAAAATCTGATAATAATTTTCATTTCTTCATACTTACATTGGAAACCATTTTCTCTATGAAGTAACAGATTGAAAATAAACCTTGTTGACTAATTTTAATGCTCACTGTATGTCCAATAAGTACTGTGGACTGATGCAAACCTTTTATAGAGAATTTTTTGTACTTCAATCTGTTTCAATTACTTAATAACTCTTCTTAAAACGATACAGTAGAAATAAGATAAGTCATCACATTATTTTCATGTAATAAATACAAACAATAAAAATAATCATGTACAGAAGACTGAAAAGCAATTCTTCTCAATGCTGTAAATATAGTGTCTGCTATTCGAAAAGACTCATTTAACATTCGTTAAAACAATTTTTTTGGTCATCAATTGAAATTTCAAATTACCTAATGCACGTACTGATGATAATAGTGCTTCGATTTTATCCAAGTTAACTGGTTGAATAAAATAAAGTTCGAACAAGTTAAGAAGTATTTTTAATCGACGAACAGAAAACGTGAATAAACGTTTAAAAAATCTATCAAATCAGAATGTTAAGTAGTTTCCTCATGAAATAGAAAAATCATCTAGATTTTTGTAAAATTTTTCGATTAATAAATATTTATTTATTTAGTTATCTCATACATCAACTGATTTAAATGAAAAACATAATTCAACAATAATTTATAGTAATGGTTATGTAAATTCTCATGAAATAAAACCTATGATAACAAATTCAAATCAAACATTAAAAATTGTACGTCGTTGGAATGATGTACAACGACGTAATAAACTTCGTATAAGTAATAATATAAGATCAATAAATGAAACAACATCAGATTGTGCTGATGAAAATTCTGTATTTTGTCCTGATGATTCATCACCACCACGTTCAAATGAAAGTCATACAAATAATGATAGTAAAGAAGAAGATTATACAATAATTCGATCGAAAATAACATTAGTACAACCAGCTAATTTATTACCAATATATAAAAGTTCAACAAAAAATTCTATTACTAAAAATGAAGTCAATTTTGATCGACTCACTCGTGATATTCAATATGCAGTGAGTGAAGCAAATACATTATCCGGCATACCTAAAGCTATGTAAGATATTATTATTTTGAAAAATATTCATATTTTTATTTATTAAATCATTTGTAGAGATCAACAACAAGTTAAACGAATTCAAAAAACAAATTTTTCACCATATTTAACTAAAGTTTCACTTCGGCCACTTCCACTACTTTTACCAAAACCGGCTGGTATTGGTTATAAAATTTTTAAATCTAAAGATCCGCCTACTGCTACATTGACGACTGCCGATCTTTCGAATATTATTCTTACACCTTCATCATCATCTTCTTTGCTTGATGCAAATGATGAACAATCGACATCAACAATGAATACTTAACATTTGAATTTTTGTTTTTTTTCCTGTCACATTATCTGTTTTGTTTTGTTTCTCATGCACGTTCTCTGCTTTATACTCTTAATCTAAGTCAAAAAAAGAAACTTTGTTTGTTACCCCAGTCATGAAATGGCTCTGTTGTATGTGTGTGTATGTTTGCGTGTGTTTATTTCATGGTAAATAATAGAATGAACGATGAATAGCAAAATATCATTCTTATATGGATTAAAATGAAATATCCTTCGAATGGTTAGTTCTCGTTTCGTCGAAAAGCATAAAATGAAATGAAAATATAATAAACATAATTAGCTTATCATAAATTCTATGATTCTCTTGAATAGACTTTTAAATAGAATGAAACTCAATGAATCTGTTGAAAGAGCTTATTTGAGAACATTGTAATAAACACACGCACTATATTGAACAAGAAGACATAAGAAAACCATTCAGAATTTTTTAATACCAATTAATCGCATAACTTTTTCAAGATATTCTTCTAATGTTAATATTTGTTGTTTAGAATGTGTGTGGGTGTGGGAGTGAATATAGGTTTGAGCGAACAAAATACCCTCATTCTAACGCTCACCCACACCCTTAATCAGTTTCTTTAGAAAAAATATTGCTGAAGACAATCAAAGCAATTAAGCTAGTTGCTTTGACCCTGCTTTTTTCATTACAATTTAATTTTTCGACGAAACGAGAACACTATGGAAAAACCTCTAACAAATTTTTCGACGAAACAAGAAAATTAATTAGCGTTTCAACGAAATGAGAATTTACCCTTCGAATATGACTAATTGATATATATCATTATGGAAATTGTACGTCTATTCTACGTCATTGATTTCGACAGATTCATGACTCACTACACATGCGTATATAGTGTATTGCTATATAAAACAACAGAACGAAACTGATATTATGTTTAAAACACGTACAAAATTATCTTGACTATTAGCACATGGGTTTGTGTACAAGCAAAAATAATAAGAAGAGACCAACAGGTTCGTAAAAGCTAAAAAATGTTTTATGTTTTTTTTTTAAACATGAAAGAGAATTTAGAGAATAAGAAATTGACGGTTGTTATTTGTCTTCATTATTTTGTAAAATTTAGAAACACTTTACATATTAGATATAGATATAAAATGAAAGAAAAACAGTTCATTTTATTTATGTTTTAATCAAATTTAATTCGTTCTTTTTATTCATAGGTCCTATCAGGGATATCAGACCTGGCAATTCTGATTCAAAGTCACCAACTACTTACGTTGCTGCTTGTGCTTGTTATGGTGATCACGAGGGAGATAATTACGACAATTGTGGAGACGTAGGCGGAGGTTGCGATGATGGAGGTTGTTCCGGTTGTGGTGGTGGCTGTGATGATTAAAATTCGAATTCGCGTGTATATTAATTTGTTTCAATAGATGCCATTACAATATCTGGTAACAAGATATCTTCGTATGAAAATATGTTTATTTGTGTATTAATCAACAAATGCTAATTATTTTACATGAAACGATGTTATCAATCTACTTTTGTAATTGATTTCAATATGTAATGTCTGTATTTAAAAAAAATATGAATTAAATCTTTTTAAATTAACCTAAATTAATAAGTTTGAAAAACTACAATCTTTAATTCTATTAGTCAAAGCATAGATATTTCATATTTTTTTTTAATTAGTGTATTAGATTTCAATTGTTAAGTAATTAAAATCAGCAATTTAATATCGAAATTCAATAAATAATTTCAAGCTTTAAAAAAATCATATTGACACAGGAAAAAATATAAGAGGTAACAAGAAAAAAAATTCTATCATTGTTCGCAACATAAAAATATACAAATGCGTTGTTTAAATAGACATAGTTATTGTGAAGAAACTATTTATTCAGTAGTGATTTGTTCTCTTCTATCAATGGAAAAAGATGTACAACATAAAAAGAAGGAAACGGAAAGAAAACAAAGAAGAGAAAAAAAACAAGAATAGTAAGAAAAGATAAATGTTTATTATCTTTTAGTGAGTACTTCTGACGATCAGTGTCAGAGAAGATGAATAGTAGTTGGTGACGAACAATATTACATAGTCATCTTAGTGTTTAGTAATAAAAATTTGAATGAATTACATCAAAGAACAACATGCATTTTTATGATGTGAACCAACTGGTTTTTGATCAAGTTTATCGAAATATCGATCAATCGAGCCTAATAATATTTTTACTACATAATCTCCAAATGAAAAAGGAAATTGTCGTCCTTGAACCTAACAATAAAAAGAAAAATTGTATCAAACATAAGTAAACGATCTACACAAAATAGATATGAGAATATAGTCATCTTAGTAAATGTTTAAGAACACTCTATTGAGTATATATGACTTACTCGCCATATTTCTTTGCGTTCTGATCGATAATCATCACATACATCGAGATAAGGTATTGTTTCATCCCATCTATTTAAATATCCTACAGCTTGATCATCATCAGTACATGCACAGAAAGTTACAAAGATTCGATCAGCTGGTTTTCTTTCATACTTCAGAACACGTTCTAATGCTTCAACATCAATTTTACCACGATCATCAGTCGGTTGTCCATCGGTAGCAATAATAATCAATAGTTTACGTTCTTGAATTTCACTCTGTTTAGCTTGAAGTATTTGACGAAGTACACGTGTAATTGGTGTTAAACCGTTGGGTGGGTTAGCAAAAGCAGGGATCAATTCAGATGAATGTTTAATACGTAAAAGTGGAGGACGATTAAGAAAATAAATATCTAAGCCATCAGGATCAAGTACAGAACCAATATCGACAGTGATAGATACAATTTGTTTTAATTCATCCCAACGCGTAGAACGTACGGCAAAAGCATTGTCAGTGTCTCCTATACAAACAAAATAACAATCAGTACAGTGGTCTATATTTTAGAGACAATATATTGCTGATGTAAAAACAAAAAGAAATATAACTTACCAACAGCAGTTGCCATTGAACCTGAATCATCACATAGAAAGACAATTTCATAACCTTCAAGTTGTCGTAGACGAGATGCAAATTCATGACTTATTTCATATCGAGCTGCAATCTCTGCAAATTTTTGCATACGTGCTTCGGCTGTTTCCATTGTATTAGGAACTATTCCATTGTAGTTCAGTTCTGTAGCTGATGGTACCGGAGCTGTCGGAGTGAGCATATTAGGATACTGAGGTGTGGTGGCGTTTACGTATGACATCAATACTTTAGAAGCTTAAAGTAAATAGTAACTATCTAAAATTAAAGAAACATATGCCTCAAACTTAGTTATAGATAAGATAAATGAAGCAAATAGTGTTACATTTATATAGAACCATAGTGCACTGTTTTTTTCCGTTAACGTCATACCGCTCGACGTCATCATCAACCTATGTAATCTTATGTTGACATAAGGAACATACGTATTTTGTTAGAAATGTGATGACGCGCAACATTTTTCATATCTTATTCATGTTAATTTTTTTACATCATTGTTCACGATTACTCAAGTAAGCAAGCAAGAAGTTTATTTCCGTTGAGTACTTTGAACGGAAAAAGAAGAGTTTGACGTTGTTGACAGATTAATCAATATGTGGCTAACTAAGGTGTCTCTCGTTTAAAATCAAGAGAGAAGGAAAGAACAAAAATGTCGAAATAATAAGGCAAGGCATCGATGTGAAGGATGAGAGAGTGTTAAATAATGTTGTTTTGACTATTTAAAATCTGTTAAAAAATAGCTGACTTAAAAAAACAAGATAATGAAAAGTTATATTGTACAAAATAATAAATGACATTTTATTAAAAAATATATATGTCTGGTGCGTATTCTCATAAAAAATATTCATTAAAGTTGAAATTAAATTAACAAAAAACCTCTAACCAATCAGACTAATTATTGAAAAAAGTTCGATTAACAAGGTAAAAAACGTCGCATAATGCACTATTTTCTTTCATCTACAACTAAATAGCATGTAGTAGTTCCGTGACATTTACAAGAACATATATGGTAAGGCCCGATGTAGAAAAAAGTATCAGTGATAAATATTTCTAATGTGCCTTAGATAAAGGCAGCAAATATTTATGTCCGTTCAAATGAACCAACTTAGTACACTTGCCCTAGCAGAAAACCATTACAGATGATTAATACTTGCTGCAACTGTCGAAGGATTAGAAAATTCACAGATCCATAGCTTTCATCGAACATGAACTCGCTAATAATCCAATTATATATGACGAATATTACATCAAAGCTGAAGTTTCTAAAAAATTGTTGTTTTTTCTAAATTAGGTTAGCTACTGCGTGTCTTAAGATCTTTCAGCCTTTTCTACATTGATTCTATGTAAACAGAATGGGTTTAGGACAGTTGCCCGTCGGACAGTTGCTCGCCGGACAATTGCTCGCTAGGACATTTGCTCGTTACGGCACTTGCTCGTAAAAATGCGTCGAAGTAAATATTTGTATGAGATATACGAAAATATTCTTTAATCGTCCACGACATTTAAATTTTCTGGCATGTTCGCATTTTCATAATATTTTCTTGTTGTTTCGTTTATCAATAATGTAAGAATATCTGTCGTAAATAAGTAACGGAGCGTTTTTCGATGTTGTTGAAAGAGTAACTGATATGATTGTTTTCTTAATGCACTGTTCTACGACTGACACTGCTTTTTATATGATTGTGATGATTGAATACGACTATTCTTTATAAAGACCATGATCGTCAATGTGCTCTACAAACAGTCTATTAGTTGAGTCAATTTTGTTCCGAATTCTTTCATTGACAATGAAGAGTCATTTCATTTGCGAGCAAGTGTCCTAGCGAGCAACTGTCCGACGAGCAAATGTCCTAGCGAGCAATCGTCCGACGAGCAACTGTCCGGATCCCAAACAGAATATTTTAATTTATGATGTGCTCATAATATTTAATTGAAGCTTTACTCATTTACCTCATATAATTACTGTTCGATAAATCCTTTGACCAAGTCTGTTATATAACAAAATAAATCTAAAATAAGCCGACGTTTTCTTTCTAAAAAGACGTAACATTCTTTGCATATTATTGGTGTTATACGTCAATATCAGTATTTTACTTTTACAAAATTAAAAGCGAAAAATTTTTTTCAAGACGATAAAATCTTTTGTAGGAGGATTCATTTTGTCAATACTTCTTATTTTATTCTTTCAGCATCAGTTTCACTGTAGATCTGTCAAATGTCATTTCTTAGGATAGCTCAACTTCTTCCTAATCGTTTTGTTTAAAACTAAAATAAGAATTGTAAGTAAGTGAACATTGGCTGTAAATTTCGTTATTGTTGACTCCAATGTTTTAATCATTATTTATAGATTCATAATGTCATTTTCCTTTAAAATTGATAGATAAAATAAGCCATTCTAATTAGTTGGCATCAGTTTCGCATTATACATTCTTGACAGGAGACGCACAAGTGCTAATGTACATAATTACCGTGCTAATGAAAGACGTTCAATGTGTAAATTCCAGCAAATTTAGCTATCTATCATTGCTACAGTAAATAAGAATTGACGAACGACAGATGAAAATGCTACTACAGCAGCTGCGTAAAGTATGGAAGAAGTGATCATGTACATCTATCAAAAGCTCAATTCATCAGTTTATTTGTTTTTCGTATCTATACTACAAACACCCTAATGAAACTAAAATTCTAGTAACAATGACGACGGACAATATATTAGACTCTGTATATGTCTATCGAATAATAATCCACAGCAGGTATTAGAATATGTAGGTCTAAGATAACGTTGAAATTTATTCCTGACTTTTGGTTTCTCTTATTGTTCATTCGTTGCATACCATTTCAGTACAATGAGAAATACGTTAAAGAAAAAAAAATCGCAAAAAATTTCCAATCAACTAAAAATGTTAGATATATTCAATATAATTTCGAACGAGGAGCAAAGGAATTTCGATTTAAATTAGATGACACATGTACCAAGCTCGTGGTGAGAAGTGTGTCCCAAAATTAGATTTATCGTTTATGATATTATAAAATTTTCAATTCGGTCAAAATCGGTGTGGGTGTGTTGCTTTTTCTTATCCACACCTCTACAATGATCCATAGTATGAGTATGATTGTTTACTGAT